TCAATAGCTACTTTGAGAATCTTTATGCTCACAGAATAGAAGACACAGATAAAATGGACAGATTCCTACAAAGGTACAAATTACCAAAACTGAATCAAGAAGATATAACAACTCTCAATAGCCCAATAACAGCCAATGAAATACAAAATGTAATAAAAAGCCTGCCGACAAAGAAAAGTCCAGGTCCTGATGGATTCACACCTGAATTCTACAAGAAATTTACAGAAGATATAATCCCTATACTCCTCAAACTCTTCAATGAAATTGAAAAGGAAACAGTTCTCCCAAAATAATTCCTGGAGGCAAGTATTATACTGATACCAAAACCAGGGAAAGACACAACTGAAAAAGAGAACTACAGGCCTATCTCCCTCAAGAACATAGATGTAAAAATCCTAGTAAATAGAATACAGCAAATCATCAAGATTATACACCATGACCAGGTAGGATTCATCCCAGGGATGCAAGGATGGTTCAATATTCAAAAATCTATGAAAGTAATACACTATCAATGGCGTGAAATCTAAAAACCACATGATCATCTCAATTGATGCAGGAAAGGCTTTTGACAAAGTCCAACACTCATTCATATTCAAAGTCCTACAGAAAATTGGAATAGAAGGCCTCTACTTCAATCTGATAAAAGCCATCTATGACAACCCAACAGCTAATATAATTCTAAATGGGGAAAAACTGAAATCTTTTATTCTCAGATCTGGTACAAAACAAGGATGTCCTCTATCATCACTCCTATTCAATATAGTTTTGGAATCATTAGCTAGAGCCATTAGACAAGAGGGAGAAATAAAAGGAATAAGAATAGATAAGAAGTTAAATTATCATTATTTGCAGATGACATGATACTTTACTTGGAAGAGCCACAAAACTCCACCAAGAAGCTATTAGAATTGATACACAAATTCAGTAGCATAGCAGGATGCAAAGTCAGTACCCAAAAGTCAGTAAAATTCCTCTACACAGATAACAAACAGTGAGAAGGGAATTCGAGAAACAATATCTTTTACAGTAGCACCATGGAAAATGAAATACCTTGGAATTCATTTAACTAAAGAAGTCAAAGGGGCTGGCGAGATGGCTCAGTGGTCTAAAGCACCTACTTACAACAAGCTTAGCAAAGCACATGGACTGCGGTTCGATCCCCCAGCACCACATGCCAGCCAGCCTCGCCCCCTGGTGGGCTGAGCTGGCCACACATACAATAAATAAATGTAAAATAAATAAATAAATTAAAAAAAAAAGGAAGTCAAAGATCTTTTCACAGAAAATTACAGTACTCTGAAAAAAGAGATCGTAAAGGATTTCAGAAAATGGAAAGATATTCCCTGCTCCTGGATAGGAACAACCAACATCATGAAGATGGCCATCCTCCCTAATTGTACAGATTTAATGCAATCCCTATCAAACTAACACCAACATACCTCTTAGACCTAGAGAAATCTGTTCCTAAAACTTATTTGGAACAAAAAAGACCTAAAATAGCAAAGGCAATCCTGGCCAACAAAGACAAGGCAGGAGGCATTACAATTCCTGACTTGAAATTATACTCCAAAGCTACTGTGATAAAATCAGCATGGTATTGGCAATGAAATAGACCTGAAGATCAGTGGAATAGATTAGAAGATACAGAGGCCTCTACGAACACACTCAGCCACCTGATCTTCAATAAAGGGGCCAAACATGTTTACTGAAAGAAAGCCTCTTTAACAAATGGTGCTGGAAAAACTAGCTCTCTACATGCCGAAAACTAAAACTTGACCCAGGTCTATCACCATGCACTAAGCTAAAGTCAAAATGGATTAAAGATCTAAACATTAAAACAAAAACACTAAATCTCCCAGAAGAGAAAGTAGGACGAACTCTTAAAGACATAGGGATAGGCAAAGAGTTCATGAGCAAAAATCAAATCACATGGGTAATACTTGAAAGAATTAACAACTGGGACCAACTCTTATTGAGAAGATTTTGCATGTCAAAAGAAATTACCAACAAAGTGAAAAGACAACCCACAAATTTCGAAAAAATCTTAACGAATAAGCACTCAGACAAAGGTCTGCTCTCTAGAATTTATCAAAAACTAAAAAACATTAGGGCCCCTAAATTTAAAGACCCAATCCAGAAATGGGCATCCAAGGTGAACACACACTTCTCAGAGGAAAATTAAAGAAGCGAATAAATATATGAAAAAATGCTCCACATCACCAGCTATCCGTGAATTGAAATTAAAACAACACTGAGATACCGTCTCACCCCAGAAAGAATGGCTATCATAAAGAAATCAACCAACAACAAATATTGGAGAGGCTGTGGGGAAAAAGAAATCCTTCTCCACTGCTAGTGGGAATGTAGACTGGTGCAACCATTATGGAAAGCAGTGTGGAGACTCCTTAAGAAACTAGGACTGGAAATCCCATTCAAGCCAGCTATCCTCCTACTGGGAATTTTCCCGGAGGAACTGAAAACATCATATCATAGTGATATATGTGTACCTATGTTTTTTTTTTAAATTATTTTTATTTTTATTTATGTGTGTGTGTGTGGCCAGCCCAGCCCACCAGGGGGCAGGGCTGGCCAGCATGTGGTACTGGGGGATTGAACCGTGGTCCCTGTGCTTTGCTAAGCTTGTTCTAAGTAGGTGCTTTAGACCACTGAGCCATCTCACCAGCCCCTGTGTACCTATGTTTATAGCAGCACAATTTGTGATAGCCAAATCTTGGAAACAACCAAGATGCCTATTACCTGAGGAATGGTTGAAAAAGATGTGTGTTTTTTTTACAATGGAGTATTACTCAGCTATAAAGAATGATAAACTCAAAGCCTTATATTTAAGTGGATGCCACTTAAAGATACACTTATAAGTGAAATAAACCAGACCCACATGTGTAAATATCATATAGTCTAGTATAAGAACTCAAAAAAAAAAAGAAAGAAAGAAAGAAATACAAATAGAAAGGTATAACATAATTAAAAGGAAAGTGAGAACTTGAGGACTGGACAATGAGAGGGTAAGGAGAAAAGCTGGAAAGCAGGACAGGGACAAAGCCATACATTTATATGCACAAGATGAGCAAGGCAATGATGCTGAGAAACACCAGCAGATTTTTGAAACTAGCAGTTAATTGATAGGATTCTCACCCTGACTAACTACATGCTGATACCTATGAACCAAGCAACTGCACTGAGGATAGCAATGAGTAATAGAAGGGTCACATTTGGAATGCCTGTCATTCTGGTCTTCTAAATACGTACTTCTTGTCATGACATGAATCATTACCATACTGTCTCACAAGTAAAAATTTTTTTAATGGGTAATAAATGAAAAAAAAGACAAGAAAAAGAAAAATGTCACAGGACTGTCCTGCTACATTGCTGTATATGGTTAGATTTTTAAATTTCTGTGTAAAAAATAAGTAATTGTTTATTTATATTCTTTAAATATTTTTCATTTTTAAAATTTTTATCTCCATACTCTGTAGGGACTTAATGTTTAACATATCAGTACTTAATGGAAAATACCTGTTCCATGTTATACCTAAGATGTTTGATATTCATACAGATATTGAAGTTAAACCCAACTGCATATGTTGTAGGGTAATAATAAGCTCTTCTGGAGGGTTAAGAACCTAAGTTTGCAGACCAAAAATTAGAGAAATAGAAGGGCTGCAAGGTCAGCCAACATTTTGGCCATAGCCTTTCAAGGTCAGTAAAGACTCAGGACATAGGAGAACCTATACTGTAACATCATGTAACTCAATTCTGTCCCAAATTTTCTGATCATGGAGATGATGGGGCCACAGAGCAACATGATTGATGGCATAGAGCGTGCCTAAGGAGAGTAACCTGGAGAGAAAACATTCTCTCAGGCTTTTACAGAGAGCAAATTTGTCAAGCAATGGCTGTGACTCATCCACATGGCTGACACTGACAAATGATCTGCAACCTGCAGTACAGGGTTAAGGATAAATCCTGAGGGTACTTGACGGACCTTATCAGATACAAAAGTTACATTTCTCGTTACATAGGTCTTGCTTTATCTTGGTCTTAACCATCCAGCAGAAAAGTATAAAAACATGGTATATAAAGTAAAGCCATATTAATATGCTGAGCTGTGAAAGGCTCCAGTCAACAACTTCTGTGGATAACCCACTATTGTGGACTGCTGGACTGTGTTGGATTGTTTTGCTGAATTCACACACCTATAGTATTTAGATGCCAATGGAATACCCATTTCTGACAGGACTAAACAAAAAAAGGGGACACAAAGGAAGGACCATTTTGTATTTGTATATGCAGAATAGTTAGGATAGATATACAGCTACTTTCGCTTAACTCAATGAGAAGAAAGAGGTGTACTAATAGTGTTTGGACAGGATATCCTGTCTGCATCTTGTACTATGGATAACCATTAAGAAGATAACAATGTATTAATTATTGAAACTGCCCTAGTAATCGGTTTTGAAACTGTCTTATTGCTATTTCTCAATAAAATAAAATTTAAAAAAGAAAAGAATTTCCCTAGGGTACAGCCACCCCCACTTACATATTCCTTGTCTAGAGGCACTTCTGCCCCACCAGTGACAGCTGAACAGCAGAGGGGTCTGGTTCAGGTGGCTCAGGTTTGCTGCCTTTGGGTCTGCCCTTGCCAGATCGCAGGGTTTACTGCACAGTGCTGAACACCAGGAGAAAAGAAAAAATGTTCCCTTCAGTAAACTAAACTGCTCACCATCCTTCTGAAAGATTGATAAGTATTTGCATCAGAAAATGAGCCAGAAGGACAGATGAGGTATGGCAAGGAGCCTCGTGCCAGGTGAGGCTGCTGGGCCCCCACAGTAGCAGACAGGCCTAGGGGCTGCTGAGCGGGCTCCTGTGTGGGGTCATTGGGTAGAGGGTTAGCTGTCCCAGGAAGAGCCACACTTGCATTTCTTTTGTCCCCTTTGCAGAGTGAAGTACAAAAAGCAATTACGAGCTTTTTTCTCTTCTAGGGAGGGAAATATATGCAGGCGGTAATTCAGTATGGGAAGATAGTATCCTGGCTAGAGATGGAGTACGGTTTATCAGAGAAGGAACTGAAAGCATCTGAATCATTTCTGCTTGCTGCTTTTCTGAACCTGGCCATGTGCTACCTGAAGCTGAGAGAATACGCCAAAGCTGTGGAATGCTGCGACAAGGTAAAGGTATCTCTAAGAGATGGACGTGGATAGTCCAGATCTTTTTCTCCACACCCATACGTGGTCTGTTTGCCTCCTCCTTCCAATTAAAGGCTAGAGAATTTTCCATTTTGTAAATTTATTTGCATTTTGGGATTGTTTCTCAGTTTAAATCGGGAAATTCAAAAAGGTTATTGTTATAATCAGACTTTTTTTTTCTTTTTATTTTTTACAACCAGACTTTTCTGATACTTGGAGTACTTGTTTGGGTTACTTGTCTCTCACTGCTGAGACAAAATACCTGACACCCAAAATTAAGGAAAGAAAGGTCTAGCTCACAGTTCCTGGAGATTTCAGTCTGTACTCTGCTGGCTCCAAGGCAGAGTGGCACATGGCAGAGGGCGGCAGTTGATGGTGGTGGAAGAAGCAAAAGCAGTAAGAGCAAAAGGGGAGAAGCTATCCAAGGCTCTTTCCCTTTCTTATATGGCATGCAGCCTACCCGTCCTAGGGTGGGTGCAACACACCCATGATCTCAGCAGTGGATCATGAATTAATCACAAACTCTAGAAGCTGCCCCATGACTGCGTGAGGCTCTGGGGAGACATCTAGACACAAACCATAACAGTACTCATGATACCTTATGGATAAGTTTTAATAAAACTGAAGGGTTCGCAGTCTTAAATTTCCCTGTGCCCCTTGAGTTCACCATCAGAGTGGGCACGTAGGGGTTCCCCAGGGAAAGCAGATTCAGCTCGAGCTTTTTAGTGCTCTGCTGTACCACACTGCATCCGCTCACAGGAAGGCACGTGCAGGCACTTCCTGATGCCATCCTGTGAAATGTAAATGGATAATTGGAAAGACCACCTAGCACCTGTCAGCCCTCTCCATTTTTACATCTGTGTTGCTGCTGTTTCCCATCTTGATGTAGAACTGGAGGCACTTGAGTAGTCACATACACCATTCTGACTTTACCACCTCCTGCTGGCTGTATCTGGTTTCAGAGTGAATGGGGCATATTATACGGTGGGTAAAGCTAGAACCTGGATGCATCTTAAAAGATAGACAAAGCAATAAGAAAAACGAAAGACAGGGGCTGGTGAGATGGCTCAGTGGACTAAAGCACCTACTTAGAACAAGCTTAGCAAAGCACAGGGACCGTGGTTCAATCCCCAGCCCCGCGTGCCAGCCAGCCCCGCCCCCTGGTGGGCTGAGCTGGTAACACACACACACACACACACACACACATAAATAAATAAATAAAATTAAAAAAAAAAAAAAAAAAAAAAAAAAAAAAAACGAAAGACAATAATCTTGTGCAGGGGCCCAAGGAGATAGCTCAGTAGAATAAGTGCTTACCTGGCAAGCACAGGGTCCTAAGTTCAATCCCCAGTGCTGGGGAAAAAAAAAAAAAAAGTCTTCTGCATCTTGGGTAAGTTTTTTGGTTTTTGTTTTATTGTTGTTGTTGCAGAACCAGGGATTGAATTCAGACTTTTTTTTGTTCTTTATTTCATTGTTGCTCCTGGGACATAAACCCAAGGCCTCATACATGCTAGCCAAGTGCTCTCTGCCCCACATCCCAGCTTTTTGTTTTGAGGCAAAGTCTCCTCACTGAGTTGTCAAGGCTAGTCTCAAACCTACCACCCTCCTGCCTCAGCCTCCCATGCAATGGATCACAGGCGTGTACCACTCTGCCTGGCCCCATTCACATCTTTTGATTACATTATCTGAAGCAATTATTTTGATTAAAACAGTCATATAATACTTCTGTCAGCCCTTTGTCCTCACTTCTGTTTGGTTTATTGTATCTCTCCCTATACAGTCTTAAAGTTTTTAATATTTACACAGTCAAATCTGCCTCTTTTTTCCCCCTAGGGAAAAAGTCTTTCCTACCTTAATGTTATAAAAATAATGGTTATATTTTATAACTGGGGGCTTCTATGCAAACTGATCTAAAATTTATTTTTGCATTTATAACATGAAGAATTTTATTCTTTTCTATGTGGCTAGCCTCAGGTCCCACCCAACTAGTATAGTGTCAGCCCCCCTGCTGATTCAGAGCACAAGTATTTTCAGCTAGTCCTCATGCATCTGGCTCTGAATGCTGTGTTCTGGTACACTGGCCTGCTTGTCCATGTGCATGTAATTAGACTTTGAATTTCAGTAGTTTTATAGTAATTTTTTTGCTTTGGTAGGATTAGTCCCTCTTATTTTTTTCCAAAGGTTTGCCAGCCACTTTTGGCCATTTACATTAAAATTGAGCTTTAAAACTAACTTCTGGGATGGCCAGATTAAAGCACATGCTTAGGCAGATGCAGGGACCAGGGTTTGATCCCTAGCCTGCTGTGCCAGTCCCGTTCCTGAGACTTACTGAGATGGCAACTGAGACTGGGCATTGTGGCACGCGCCTGTAATCCCACTGCTTGGGAGGCTGAAAACAGGAGGATCGCTACAGACTCTGTACTAAATACATAAAAATAAATAGATCTTCTTTAAGGCCCCCTCCTAAATACAAAAAATTAACTTGAAGTTACATTAAATACAGTAACTTGAGTAGTGCATTTTGATCAGTATATAATTCTCTAAAACACCACTTTTTTTAGAACACATTTTTCATCTCTTTTTCTCAGGAGGTTTTAGTAAGCTGTTTAACTGCTGAATTTCTTATCCAAATCCCCACAAGTATGAAGGATTCCTTTCATCCTTTCTAAAAGAGACCATCTATCCTTAGGCCCTTGGACTAGACAGTGCCAACGAAAAAGGCTTGTACAGGAGGGGTGAAGCCCAGTTGCTCATGAATGAGTTCGAGTCAGCCAAAGGCGACTTTGAGAAAGTGTTGGAAATAAATCCCCAGAATAAGGCTGCCAGACTGCAGATCTCCATGTGCCAGAAAAAGGCAAAGGAACACAATGAGCGGGACCGTAGGATCTACGCCAACATGTTCAAGAAGTTTGCGGAGCAGGATGCAAAGGTGTGTATGGAGCCCACTCACCTCCAAGTAGATCGGGGACTGGACTTGCCCTTGCCTTTGTTTGGGGAGAGCTAAGTATGGGGGCAGCCTCAGGCAGACCCCAGGAAGCACAGAAACCTGGAATAACTTGCTGCCTGATGTGAGGCTGGTGTGGATCCAGAGGTACAGGAAGGCTGTTCCACTTACCAGAGGCCCAAGTTGAGAGGCCCTGGGAGTTCATGCAGGCATGAGGAAAATACATTCACCTGAGAGGTACTAAGGCTTTTGTTACTTCTTTTTTAACAATCAGGGGTTTTTTTGCAAGTGACACTTCATTGTTGAGACTTGGGACATTTGCGGGAAGTCGTAGCCCTGCTGCCCTTGAGAGCTGGGAGCCCACCAGTAGGAACACCTATCTGGAGACCAGTCGACCTCCTGTATGGTGTAGTCGTGACCTGGTCCTGAGTGTGACCCCTCCCCAGCTCCACTATCACATGGACTGAAGCGTTCCATAGGTGACCCCAGAGTGAGCCCAGTGTTTTCACCAAAGAAGAGGGAAAGCTCCTGGCCAGCACACCCTGCTGGGCCAACCAGGCAATCTTAGTAAAAGCATAGTAGAAAAAGGCTGGAGGAACCAAGATGTTCTGTAACCTTTTTGATTTCTTATTTCTTCCTCAGGAAGAGGCCAGTAAAGCAATGAGCAAGAAGACTTTAGAGGGGGCCACCAGTGAAAAGGAGACAGAAAGCAAAAGAATAGAAGAAGGGAAACCTGAAGGCCACCTATGACACCACGCCAAGGAGGGAAGAGAGTCCAGAGAACTCGGCCCCTCCTCCCTGGGCGTTCACCCAACTCAGGACTAAAGGGTATTTAGTGTCAAGTTTGTTAGTCTCTGTGATTCTGGAAGCAAAGAGCACAACCGGTGGCTTCCCAAAACAGCCCCCCTGCTGCTGCCCCCTAGGTTCACTGAGGGGTGGCAGGGACCACTCCAGCAGGATGGGACAGGGAGGGCTGCTGGCGCAGATGGAGCCTCGGCCGGGCCGGCTGCTACTTCAGTTCATGTCAGCTCTCAGGACCCACTGCAGGGTCTCTTGAGTAATCCTAACAATTCGGCACTGTTAGATTTTACATTTGAACCTTAATAGCACTGCAGAAATCTTTAAAAAAAAAAAAAATGCTTAAAGAATTTCTCCTTCCCTTCAGGTGGGCAGAGTGAGGGAAGGAGGGCAAGAGTTTGCTTTTAAATGACTGAAGTGCTGTGAATGCAGCTCGTTGCATTTACAGCCAGCAGAGCCCACAGTGCAGGGCTCGCGGTCCTCCCAGCCCTACAGCAGGGTCACAGATTCGAAAGCCAGAAGCTCCAAAGCCACGTGCTGGCTGGCGTGGCTGCTTCCAACCCCCACCCACAGCCCGGCCCTGGGCAACCTGCTGCTGGTCCTCAGACCCACTTCCCGCTTCCCGCAAGCAGCGAATGAGCAGTGGGAGCTGCTGGGCGAGCTTTCCCTGTCTTGGATGAAATTCTGAGGTGCTGAAATGTGAAGAGAGCAGTCAGCATTGTGTTTTTGCTTCCCTCGCTGTTCCTCTTAGGAAACAATGATAATACCTTGTACTTCCTGCCAACACTGCTGCTGTTCAGCTTGTTTCCATTCTAGGCCTTGCTATTAAGAATTTAAAACTTGTTCTTATATCTCTGACCTGGAGTCGATTTATTTACATATCCATTTAGGATCCAGGCAGCTTTTATGTCTTTCTTTTTTCTTTTTCTTTTTTTTTTTTTTAATTACTGGCCCATAAACATGTATATTGGTTTATGGAACTTTACACTCCTCTATCATACAAGTCATTTTGACCTTTTACAGCTTAGTAGCTTAATTTTTTTTTTTTTAAGTGTAAGAGATTGAAAACTAAGCATTTGCTCTTCTCATGAAAGGTTTCCTGCAGGTGTGACAGGCAGGGGTTCTACCTCCCTGTGCTGCTAGCTTCTCTTTGTCTGGCACGAACCCCTGTGAAAGGCGGGAAGGCTTCCTGTGCAGGCACACATACCTAAATCTGCAGTCCTCGGGCATTGACTGAGAGCAAGTCCTAAGACAAGGATATGTATGTAGTTGAATGTTAGTCCTATGGAGTGTGGCTTTCTTTCTGACAGCCTAAGAAATACGGGAAAGCATTTGTCCACCCAAGGAACCATTTGCCTAAACCTAGAACGTCTCACTTTCTTAAACCCTAAAGAACACTGGCAGTTGCATTTTAGATTTGTTTGGGTTTTTTTTTTGTTTTGTTTTGTTTTGTTTTGTTTTTTTCCCGGAACCGGGGATTGAACTCAGGCCTTTGTGCTTGCCAAGCAAGCGCTTATTCTACTGAGCTATCTCCTCGGCCCCTGTTTGTTTGTTTTTTTTTAATGGTGATTTTAAGAAAACATTTTCATTACTAAGTTAGGACCTTAAAATCTAAAAATCAGATCATTTCCTTTTATCTCAGCCTTCTCTGTGGAACAAATGCAATTAAATTGTGAGATTTTGCCTTTAAAAATAATCTCTGCTTTCTTGTTCACACTTTGTCTTTCATGCAATATTTCTTTAAAAAGCCCAAGTCTTGCCTAGGAAATATGAAGAGCAAAAGTGATTTTGTTTATTTGCTTACTGTTAGTGTTTTTAGCTCTGTTGACTAGAGCATGATTCCAATGAGGCCACTGAAATTTCAGCCTAACAAGGTTAGTCAGCCTTTCGCAGGTAAAAGATGAGAAACTATTCCAAAACTCACATGGCTTTGGCCTGCTGTTTGCAAAGTGTGTGGCGTGGGCCACGAGGGGAACTGGCCCGCGTGTCTGGGAGAGGGAGGGTGTGCGAGTGGTTCCATGCAGTCAGTGGGTGCCCAGCACCACTCGGGAAGAGAACACTCAAGTTCTTGCCCCAGATTCATACTCTCAAGGGTTTTCATGGAAATCAGATGTCTGAAAGCATGTTTTAGATTGCATAGGAGTGGTGAGTCAGCATATGGTGAGTTTAAAACTTGGTTTCAAAAATCATTTAGATGCACTTTTGCGTTCCTTCAATAAAACATTTTAAAGGTTATTTTCCATTCTTCTTTGTTTTGCTCAGTCTTCAGGAATACTTTTGGTTGGAAACCGTATTGGGGGCCAGTGTAAATGAGCATCAGAAAACTGCCGTGTATAGCCTAGGGGGAGGATGGCAGAGCAATGGGCCTGCTAAGATGAACCAAACCACTACAGATAAGAGAGTTTGTTTTGCATGAACTAGTGGGTATTCTGCCTTTTACCTGATTTTTATGATAGAGTCAATTTGGGAAATGAAATTCAATATATGAGGTCCGAGTCCATCAAGCTCAGGTGATCCTCGGTGCTGCGCGTGTTCCTTTCTTGCCTAGCACAGCGCCTCAGGTACTCATCCTGACAAGCTCCAAAGGCCTCAGCCTGTGACTCCTGCTGTCTACACAAGGCGGGCAGGGGGTGGGGGGTACACCTCCCATAGAACCCACACGGAGGACACTGGTTTCCTTATGATGAATTCTTTGCTTCATCTGTATTTCAATTCTTTTCCTTTGTTGTTAAAGTACCTGTTAATGAAGTAATTCTCGGGCCAGGGAGATAGCTCAGTAGAATAAGTACTTGCCTGTCAAGCTCAAGGCCCTGAGTTCAATCCCCAGTACCGCAAAAAAAATAATAATAATAATTCTCATTAGTGACATTTTTCCCTAAGCAAATAAGTCAGGTATTGGGGTCATACATGGACAGTAAATGCAGAACCGTTTATTGATGGTGCTGGAGACTGAAAGCAAGGCCTCACTCAGGCGACACAGCCACCGTTGCCATGGAGCTGCGGCCCAAGGGCAGAGCCTTGACCTTAGCAGACTGGAACCCACCCTTCCTCGTGGTCCATTAGCGCCCTTGATTCTCTGAGATTGTCATCATCCCTATGACAAAATGCATTGAATTCAGAACTAAGTAATAAAAATCCTGAGACTCAGCTGCCTGGCTGTTTATGCATCTGCAGGGCAGTAATGGAGAAGGGTGTACAAAGGGCCTTCCACAGCGGCTGGAAGCTGGGAGGCTCTCAGGGCTTCCCTTCAGGTTTGTTGTCCTTCATGTCACATAGATTCCTGGAGGAGCTTGGGAAAGGGTATAAAGAAAAGATGCAGCCGTCTTGTGCAGCCGCTTGCCCTGTTCATCATTTGGTAATCACCAGTAAGCTACATGTGCAGCCTTAGTGTGTTGCAGGAAGGATGTACTGGATGTAGCTAAAGAAACCTGTGACAACATCGTGGTGCAAGTAATTGCAGCCTGGAGGTGAGATCATTCGAGCAGAGTACAGGTGTTTCTTCTGGGGGTGAGGAAACCCTGGAGAATCATGAAGGGGGAGGGGGCTGGGGAGATGGCTCAGTGGAATAAGCACTTCTCTGGCAAGTGTGAGGGCCTAAATTCAATCCCCAGTTCCGCAAAAAAAAAAGGGGGGGGGGGCCATAGCGGTAACACATCAGTGCTTGGTCACCATGCCACCTGACCTGGTTATACACATCCCAAGTATGATGCTTTCTAGGTGGAGGGCTGACTCCACCAGCACCAGGAATGAGCTCAAGGTTCCTCAAAGCTCCCAGACACTGGGTGGACTTGGAACACAGCATTGGAGGACCCTGCTTTTTTCTTCATGTAAGCTGGAGGGCAAGATCCACTATGCCACGTAACCAGCCCCAAGGGCAGGACAGGAATCAGCTCAAAGAGTAGTACAAAGGAAGAAACCCTGCACCCCAGGTGGAAACTGGCCGTCAGGGCCACCTGTGACTCCTCCCATGTCATATCACTCTTTCCATCAACCTTCCAGAGGGACAGAGAGCATGGCTGCTCTGTCATTCCCACCCTCAGAGGCAAAGCAAGGCCGTGTGGTCCTCGAAGGTTAGAAGGAAGGAATTCTGATCATGTCTTTTCCCCTTTAAGGTTTAATTGACACCTTACCAAGGCAGGTAGGTGTCTAAGCCATTCTTGAGGTGTGAAATGTTCCTCGTGTGTACACTTTGGGATGCTGTATCCTCTAAGCCCTTGCTGTAGATATTGTGGCTCGGCTTAGTCATCTCCCTAAAGTTTCTGTCCAAGAAAATAAGGCCAGAAGAGCAGGTAGGTAACAATGGTGTCTAGGTGCACCACTAATGCACCAAACTGATTGGAGGTCCTTATTTCACCCGCTAACAATGATGTTTCTACACTGAGGACTCCTGATTTTTTTTTTTTCTAGTCTAAAAATTTAAACCCACATGTGCACTATTACCTCTGAATGTACCAAAGTCTTCCTAAAAATGACACTAACCTGTACGCGTAGTCAGTGACGTAAGAGTCTCTCTGCTCTTCGGAGCCCCAGGAGCTCATTCTCGTCCCCCTGCTCAGCACCTAGTGCTCCATCCCAGCCTGGCACGCACTCGGGCCCACCTGGCCTGCTGTTCTGCCAAGGTGGCCTGCCGTCTCTCTAGCCCTTCATTCCCATGACTTCATTCTTGAGATGCAGCAGCCAGGATCACACCATATCCCAGATAACCCTGCAGCTTGATTATTTTCCAAGTAATGAACCCATGGCTCCTTGACTTGAGTGGTCAGAATTGCAGGATGCTCCGTGGTCTTCAGGCTACATGGATTTCAGCTCTGTTCCTAGCCACAGCTGCTAACAGCCCAGCACCTGAGCCGATCCCAGTCTGCTGTGAACCAGCACTGTGGCACTAAGGTGAAGGACCAGGACCCCAGGGCTTAGCGTTCACAGGCAGACAAGAGAAAAGAGGCCGACAGGTCGCTCTACCATCTGCCACCTGGTACTGATCCCTACAAAATTAGACACTGGAACAGGAGACTTAGTTCTCCCCTCCAACTCTCCTGTCCACACAGCCTTGTGGAACCCTGAATGGGCTCTTCTGCCAGCCCTGCCCCCACACTGGTCATGGCCCCCGGGCTGCACAAAGCACTTTGTGTAGAATGCCCCAGCCCCACCCAGGATGCTGGCCTTTTGCCTGGGCCCTGCCTGAGAAGTTTCTGCTGGCGGCAAAATTTTAATGTCTTTGGAGAGGAGCTTCACGTTTCCAAGGTGACCTGTGCAGAAGTCTGGGGCACAGGGAGCCACCCTGAGTTTCCTTTGCCCTATGGGGAGTTTCCCAAAGCAGGTGCCAGATACCCTTTGCCCTATGGGTCACTGGGAAGTATTGAGTTCCCGGGAAATTAGTGTATCTTAATTAGAACCCCTCCCATTCACACAGCTGTCACCTCCTGACCATTCTCAGGAGCCCCACCCCTTGCACCAGCCTCTCCCTGCAGTAGAAAGTGGCTTTAAGTGGGCCAGTCACACTGTCCATCTGCCTGTCATCTGTCTCCCTCTCTGCTTCCCTTGAACCCGGCCGTGTCCTGCTGACATGTGCAGGTTGGAAGAAGGCTGCAGTGAGGTTTGCCCCTTCAAGCACCGTGACCCGGCCTTGCCGCCTTCAGGCAGGGACTTGCCTCAGCACAGGTGGCTGGGGAACACTCAAACAAGACAGCGCTGCACTTCTTGGGTAGTGGTTTTGGGTAGACAGTTTTGTGGGGGCAGCTGCACGGGAGGGCCCTCAGCAGATCGCCATCAGATGTCCCTGAGAGAAGCAGAGCCTGTGAGTGGCAAGAGCTCCAGGTTAGGTCCAGCTCTCTAAGGACAGGTACGGTTGGGGTGCAATCACTTCCTTACCCGTGGAATAGTTTTCCTTACCTATAAAATAAAGGCAGCTACTATTTATTTAACTTAAAACTTTTTGCTTCTTTTTTGGGAAACACCAAATGGTGGATGACGCAGGTGCAGTGGGAGGTCGCAGGCACGGCAGATGCCGGGGTCAGGGCTGAAGCCATGGGGCTCGAGGCGAGAAGGCTGAAGACAAAGAGTAGATTCCTGTCACCAAGCTGGGCCAGCTGGACAAAGGCATGAAGATCAAGTCCCTGGAGGAAATTTACCTTTTTTTGTTACCCATAAGGGAGTCCAAGATTATTGACAAAAGGGCACATGCCTCCAGGATGAAATTCTGAAGATCATGCCTGTGCAGAAGCAAAGTCATGCTGGCCAGGGGACCAGGTTCAAGGCATTTGTCACCATTGGAGACTACAAAAGCCATGTTGGCCTGGGTGTAAAGTGTTCCAAGGAAGTAGCCACTGCCATTCGTGGGGCCATTATCCTGGCCAAGCTCTCCATTGTCCCCATGAGGAGAGGCTACTGGGGAAACAAGATCGGCAAGCTCCACACTGTTCCTTACAAGGTGATGG